TTGTAGATGAACAGATGCTGGGATATATTCATCATTTAACGCGGGTTCCTCATTTTTCTGGACTGAATAAAACGTGCATTGAATTTAAGGAAATGCAAAGTGAGACGTCATTTATATTTGACCCATCAAAATGAATGCGGTCATTTATTTACAGAATCAAATTTAACATCAAACATTTACATTAATTTGGCAAATTATGAAAATAACAATATAAGCAATCAATCAGGAAAAATCATACGGCCATGATTTTTCCGTTGCTGCACCACAGACATTTATAAAACTGTACAACTATGATCTTTTACCCACACGGATGTGAATAAGCACTTTACACAGACATTTCTAAATATCTGGGAGAATTTCTACTTGATAGAAAGTTAAAGATGAAAGAAGTTAAAGGGAGTAAGATTGAATGGGAAGGGAGGAATGTTCACCAGAACCGACACTCTCCATCAGAAGCCCGGCTCTCCTTCGGTACGCTTGGTAGGAAACTTGATCCATTACCTTTCTGAAGATTTATCAGCAGATATGGAATTCCGTTAACGCTACCTGTCCAGCGTCTCCTGATGGGGCTGTAGCTCGTCAGAAGTAGTGGCTAGTGAAAGTTATAATCCCATGGAACTCGGAAGAGCCTTTTGTCATGTCAAGATCATCCCGTCTCTAACAGAACTTGAGCAGAACCAGCAGAAAACTCTCCAGCACTCCAGCAACTTCAGAACTCCAGAACTCTAGAAGTCTGACCACTCTGTAACTCCCTGTAGACCAGGAAGTACTGACATTTTAAAGACTCTTTCCCGGTTCACTTTTTGGGATTTTTCATTGGTCAGAATCGACCAGAAGGGGTGGGTTTTGTGACGTAAGAGGTTAGAGACAGCGAGAATTGTTATGGGACAGCTCAGAAATGTTCTCACAGACCGAGAGGGTTTTGTTTTGGCGTGTTTCAGGAAACAGGTGCAAAACATCTCTATTTACGTCTGAGAGGATTCTAAAACATGACAGTTTTAACATAACAACTTGTTTTTCGTTTGACTGTAACCTTGTAAACGCACACACTTGCTCATTCAGAAGCAGAAATCAGAAAAATGCATAATTACTCTGCAACAGCTTTTAACATGAGTTCTAACTTTTGCATGAGAATAAAAACCATTACTCAGTTAATAAAATTGATTAGTTCACTGCAACATCTAAAATGGTTTGAACTAAGACACTTTGATTATCAACATTTGTAAGATAGTAATGATAATAAAAAGAGAGTGTTCTTTTCACTTGAATCTTCAAGAAAGAAAGTCTCAGGATGGGTGAACCTGTATTTATGGATTCAAATACATGAAATGACAGCTTCTGTCCCACAAGGTTCTAAAGGTCAAGAGTTTTGACCTTAGACTTAGTTTCGACGTAGGCCTAGTCCACTACAATGTGGTCAGTAAAATGTTGGACTTCCTGAGATTTAATTTTAACCCA